TAGAGTGCCGTGGCATCACAGCTCACAGCAACCTCCAAGTCCTGGGCTCAAGCTAGTCTCCTGCCTCAGCCTCCCAAGTAGCTGGGACCACAGGCGCCCGCTACAACGCCTGGCTATTTTTTGGTTGCAGCCATCATTGTTTGGCAGGCCCAGGCTGGATTCGAACCCTCCACCTTGGGTGTACATGGATGGCTCCTTAGCCACTTGAGCCACAGGTGCCGAGCCCAGAACTTTAACAGAAGAAATAAAAATAAGTTTCTTCTATCTACGATTTTAGGGAAAGAGGCGTCTGTTAGTTTTAGTTCTGGCAAGAAGCCTCCCATTCCCCTGCGAACCTGAAAAGCTGCACAGCGCGGCCAGAAGGATGCAGTTCCATCAGGAGCCGCCAGGAGCCGCCACCTCCAGAGGCTCCTGGAAGCGCCGCTCTGTACGTGGCCTGCGCGTGGTCAGAGAGGAATCCTGGGCTGGAGGCAGCAGCGCAGTGCATCTTGGGTCAGCGTAGCCATGGCGGCTCGTGTCCTTTACTCCTGTGTCCGCCGCCTGCCCGCGGCCTTCGCGCCGCTGCCCCGGATTCCCACGCTAACTGCGGCCCGACCGCTCAGCACTGTTCTGTGCCTCGCGGGGAGCCGGACAAGGCCCGGGGCTTCGCAGCCGTCCTCGGTGCTCGCGCAGGTGACTCGCGGTGACTTTGCTGGGGCTTGGCAGGGGTCAGGGATCTGGCCCGCTCGGAAGTGGGGGTGGGAAACTGGGCAGCCGGGCCGCGCCTACTGCAGGTAGGGGCGACCCAGGGGACGGTTGGCTCACTCCCCAGCCCTGCTGCTTAATGGTGTTTGGTTTTTACACCTGCCGGGAAGCCAGGTGACCTAATGATTACGAGCAAGAGCACAGATGCTTGAGTTCAAATGCTGGATGCCCCTTTCCGAAACTTTGGACAACTGTCGTAACTTCGCCAAGCCTTACGACTAAACTGCAAAATTGGGATACTAGTCTCTACCTTGTGGCGCGGCAGTGAGATTTTAGACGGGATAATAAGGATAGAGCCCCTAGTGCAATGGTTAGTAGACTTTCACAGTATTGGCCGCCGTTAGTTGTAATGGTATCGGTGCAAAGAGGAAGCCACACTGGCCTACACTCTTGTCCAGAGCAGTTCTCAATTCTGTTTTAATTTTCCTCTGGCACCTTTGCCTACTGGGCCTACTGTAAGTAAAGCTAGGAAACAAGTTGTATGTAGCTTTCTTATCTGATGAAAAATATGTGGAAGACAGCAACTCACTGAGGTGGGTTGGCAGTGATTTTCAACCCTAGCTGCACATTCAAATCACCTGGTAACTTAGAATAAATTCCTTGCTCCCCTTTCCTTCTCGCTGATTTACTTCTCTATGATGAGACCCTGGCATGGCTTTTTTTTTTTTTTTTAAGTTTTCAGGTTGACTCTGAAATGCAGTCAAGATTAGAACTACTGCCTTAAGGTAGGATAGACTCCTAAGGTCAAATTATGAAACCTTTTTTCAAACTCAAGGACTTCATGTAATAGTGATTTCAACCTTGACTGCGTGTTAAAATAAAAAATAAGGATGCCCAGGCTGAATTAATTGGAATCTAGAAATGGGGCCTGGATGACGATTTTTAAAAGTCACCAGGTGTTTTTATGTATCACCTTACAAATTTTTTTCAGAAACATGATTAAAAGCAGCATCTGTCATAATAGAAATTGTTGCATTTAAATAACAATATATTGGAAAATGTTTAAATTTTACCAGCCTGATGAAAATGAACCACTTAGGTGTACTTTTTTTTTTTTTTTTGGCAGTTTTTGGCCAGGGCTGGGTTTGAACCCGCCACCTCCCTCATATGGGGCCAGCAGCCCTACTCCTTTGAGCCACAGGCACAGCCCAAATTAAGTGTACTTTAAAAGGTGGTGGGGTGGGATTTCTTTGATCTGAACAATCAGGAAGATTTTGTTTGTGGAATTTTCCCACCTGAGCAGTCCTCCCTGGATCCCAGGCAGCTGCTGGACTGAGCCCCAAACTGCTGGACTTGTCAGGTGATAGGTTTTAAAATTTGTCATTGTAAATGAAACAATATTTGTGTGATGTCTGAGATGGAAAAGGTTGATTTAGTTCAAGAACTACAAACAGAATAGAAAGCTTTTCACTGTGAAATACAATATATTGCTTCCTGTCATGTATTTTTTAAGTACTTATGCATTGTGACATAGAAAAAAATCTGGCTAATTTATTTGACTGTACAAATACATTCTGATAATTTTTTTATATTTTCATAAACTTTTAAAGATGTAAAATTAGAGAATTTCATTTGTTCTTTGGAATCTTATGCCATTGTACATCACTACAGATTTTTCACTTTATAGAGCAAATTTTTCTTTTTTTTCTTTTTTAGAGACAGAGTCTTACTTTGTTGCCCTCGGTAGAGTACAACATCCTGCTCTTGGGCTTAGGTGATTATCTTGCCTTAGCCTCCCAAGTAACTGACACTATAAGTTCCCGCCGCAACACCCAGCCTTTTTTTTTGTTGCAGTTTGGCCGGGGCTGGGCTCGAACCCGCCACCCTTGGTATATGGGGACAGCACTCTACTCACTGAGCCACAGGTGCTGCCCAAGTGTAAATGTCTTAACACAATAATTAAGTAAATGAGGTGAGGGATATATTAACCAGTGCAATGTAAGCATTCCAAATTGTATACGAAATCAGCACATTGTACCCCATAAATGCATTAATGTATACGTGATCTATGTGTTTATGATTTAATAAAAAATAAATAAAAACACCAGCTATAAAACAGGAATAAACAACAAGGGTAGTGCTTTGATCCAGGCAGCCCCAAACCTAAACTGTGTAGCAGTCAGCGCATGAAAGAATTTCTGACAGTTCTGTGTGGTATGGTACCCAGATCTTTCCTCCCAGTCAACCAAAGTAGGTTACCAGGCAAATGGGATTGTAAGAAAATGGGAAAAGTGGAAGTTAGCACTAGATTTCTGGCTAGAGCCCCAGGTGACAGGGAGGGAATAGAGGTTGGTGAGCAGATGTTTAGGAGACAACTAAGTTTGACATGTCTGGGCTACCTGGATAGAGCTGTCTGGCTGGCAAGTCATAGAGTGACCTTTAAAGCCATTTCCTTAGTTTCCTCTAAGTTTCCCTCAGACACAGGTGGTCCTGAGTGGAGTACAAGGATTCCGATGGAAACTAATCAGCTTAAGTTACTAGTCCAGAGGGTAGTGGCCTGCGAGCAGTACCTTCTCTGACATCTGGAGGAGGCAGTTTATGTTGCATATGATTACGTATAGATCCAGGAACAACCCATGTTGGCTTTGGGGAGATGCCTGTCCATTCTATATCCTCCTTTTTTTCTTTAAACAGCTGAGACCCAGAAGGAGCAGTAGGACCCTCTAGGAGGCCATGCAGGAAGCCTGGGGGTGGGTAACCTAATTTTACTCTGCCTCAGTTTCCTCATTTACAAAGGGGGAGAGTGATAGTACCATACATCTCTTGGGATTGCCACGAGAGCTAAGGGAGCTGAAGTGCTTAGGGTAGTACCATAGCCTGATTTACTGATAAGGAATTAATTGAAAGACCAGAAGGGAGGATATGAGAGGGAAGGAATAGGATAAAGTGTTTAACGGGCAGGTCGTTGTTCTCATGATCCTTCTAGATAACCCTAAATAGCATTTGCCCTATGTATGTGTGCAGACCAGTGTGCTAAATCTCTTATCTCACTGATGCCTCACAACAATCCTGTGATTGCGGTGCTGCTGTTTATCCCCACTTTACAAATAAGGAAACTGAGGCACAGAAGGATTTAAGTCAGCAGTCCCCAACCTTTTTTGTCACCGGGGACTAGTTTCATGGAAGACAATGGATGACACAGGTGTGGTTTGGGGGGATGATTCAAGCACATTACATCTCCATCTCAGAGCATCAGGCATTAAACTCTCATAAAGAGCACACAACTGGCTCGGGCCGCTAGGGCATCAGCCACATACACCAGAGCTGGTGGGTTCGAACCCAGCCCAGGCCTGCCAAACAACAATGACAACTATAACCAAAAAATAGCTGGGCATTGTGGCAGGTGCCTGTAGTCCCAACTACTTGGGAGGCTGAGGCAAGAGGATCATTTAAGCCTAAGAGTTTGAGGTTGCTGTGAGCTGTAACACCACAGCACTCTACCCAGGGCAACAGCTTGACACTCTGTCTCAAAAAAAAGCACACAACCTAGATCCCTCACGTGCAGTTTACAGTAGGGTTTGCCTTCCTGTGAGAATTTAATGCTGCTACTGATCTGACAGGAGGCAGAGCTCAGGTGGTGATAAGAGCAGTGGGAAATACACATTCCTTCCCTGGCCAGCAGCTGTACCTGCTTGTGTGGCCTGGTTCCTGACAGGCCCAGGGTTTGGACACTTGCCAAGGTGGAACAGCAGGCGTCAGCACTGAGGTGCAAGTGTAGGTACTCTAGTTCCAGAGTCTGAGCTCTTGCCTACCACATCTTTTTTTTTTTTGCAGTTTTTGGCCAGGGCTGGGTTTGAACCCACCACCTCTGGCATATGGGGCCAGCGCCCTACTCTTTGAGCCACAGGCGCGAGCCACAGGCGCTGCCCTCTTGCCTACCACATCTTACTGCCTCCTGCTGACCTCCCTGCAGCACCCCACTTTAGACTGGCATGTGGCCTCCACGTAGATACCCCTTTATTTAATTTAATCACATGGTGCCCACCTGGCCCCTACAGGTACTTGACAGTGCTGCTGGGGACAATGCTATACCTGGTAGGACACATGGATAGCTGTATACAAACTCCCCCAGGCCCCCAGCTTTTCTTTCTCTGTCTCTTTAGCATGAATTCTATCTGTACCATTTCTGTCTTTTAGAGATAGGGTGTCACTTTGCTATTGCCCAGGTTGGAGTGAAGTAGCACAGGCATAGCTTGTTACAGCCTCAAACTTCTGGGCTCTAGCAATCCTCTCACCTTACCTCCTGAGTATGCTTTACATAGGCATGCATTACCTCCACTGGCTAGTGTTTTATTTTTTGTAGGGACAAGGTCTCACTATGTTGCCCATGCTGGTCTTGAACTCCTCGCCTCAAGCTATCCTGCCTTGGCCTCCAAAAGTGCTGGGGTCACAGCATGAGCCACCATACCCAGCCATATACCATTTCTCTCTCTTTTTTTTCTTCCTTTTTCTATTTTATTGAGACATAGCTTCACTCTGATGCCCTGGGTAAAGTACTACAGTATCACAACTCAAAGAAACCTCGAACTATTGGGCTAAAATGATCTTCTTGCCTCAGCTTCCCTGGTAGCTGGGACTATGGGCATCCATCACTCCTGGCTAGTTTTTCTATTTTTAGTAGAGATGAGGTCTTTCTCTTGCTCAGGCTGGTCTTGAACTCTTGATGTCAGGTGATCCACCTGCCCTTGGCCTCCCAGAATGCTAGGTACTGACATGAGGCACCATGTCCTGCTCTGAGCAGTGTTTTAATTATGATTTTTCATAGACCTTTGTGCTGAGACTCACCTAAGCCCCAACAAGCAAATCTACTTTCTATAAGGAAACACCTTAAGAACTCCAAACCTCGGACTCGAACTCTTGGGCTCATGTGATCCTTCTACCTCAGCCTCCCTAGGAGCTGGGATTAAAGACATGTGCCACCACACCCAAGTTGCTCTATCTCATGGCCACAATTAGAATCAGATGATGTGTGTTCACTAAACCTGAAGAACCTTTGTGAAAAGCTATCTGTAGGCTTGTGCGTTGATACAGAGGCATTTCAGGTTCATTGGTAGTGTTTCCTTCCTGCCCTTGTTCTAGGTTCCAGGTCAAGTTACACAATTGTGCTGCCAGTACAGTGACGCTCCCCCTTTGACATTAGAGGGAATCAAGGACCGTGTTCTTTACGTCTTGAAACTGTATGACAAGATTGACCCAGAGAAGGTAACTGATGGTGGTTTAAATTTTTTTCTATTTAATCACAAAGTACAAAATGCACTAGATCCAAAAGGATATTTAGTAAAATGTCTCCCTGGTTCCCAGCCACCTAGTCCCTTCTAGGAGACATGCAATGGTTCTACCCTCTTAAGTGCCTTTTCGGAGATACACAATGCATATGTAGGGAAGTATACACACATGTATGAATATTATATCTCCCACCTTTTTTAAAAAATGCAAGTGGTACACTTTTTTTTTTTTTTGAGAGAGAGTCTCAGTATGTTGCCCTCAATAGAGTGCCTTGGCATCACAGCTCATAGTAACCTCTAACTCTTGGGCTTAAGCAATTCTCTTACCTCAGCCTCCAAGTCCCAAGTAGCTGGGACTAAAGGCACTCACCACAATGCCTGGCTATTTTTTTTTTGTTGTAGTTGTTTAGCAGGCCCAGGTTGGGTATGAACCTGCCAGCCCCAGTGTATGTGGTCTGCACCCTAACCACTGAGCTAGGGGCGCTGAGCCAGTGGTAGTATATTTTAAAACACTGTTCTGCCTTTTGCTTTTTTTAACTCGTGGATTTTTTTCTCACAGTGATACACAAAAAATTCCTTCTTTAATAACTGAATCTGTTGTGTGGGTAACATGTTTTTGATAGGGGTTTTTGAAGACTTCTTTCTGGTGATCTTGAGTTCTAAATTAAAGGCAGAGCTATAATAAACAATTTGTAATTGGAAACTGCCTACAGTTTACAATAGTCTGCTATTTGTAAAGTGCAGAGTCTTAGTTGTCAGTAAGGCAGCAAGAAAAACCAAAGTCCCTCAGATGTCATTCGGACCAGTAATCAAAGATCTTAGTAAATGTGTAGAGTGAAGTCCTTCATTAAGTTTGCATATAAGTTAACCATTTCAAAACAAAGTTGGATCAAATAAAGCATATCATGTATATGCTAGCACAGGTTAAATATGTAATGATGGTTATGGCCTCTTTACATTTAAAAAAGTATCTTCCATGTAATGATTAAGTGGAATCATAGCACTGTTACCTTGGGAAGCAAATGCGTTCAGAGACTAAATTTTGTATTCATGATAAATTTGAGTGTATTCATGATAAATTTGAGTGTATTCATGATAAAAGGACTTTTGTGTTTGGTATTCCTTTCTTGCAGCTTTCAGTAAATTCTCATTTTATGAAAGACCTGGGCTTAGACAGTTTGGACCAAGTGGAGATTATCATGGCCATGGAAGATGAATTTGGTAAAATACAGGCTTCATCTTATATTTTTTCTGTCTGTATTTTGTGATTCTTGTTTTAGGTGATTAAACTGAAATGCTGGGAGTCTGAATGGAATTGGAATAAAATCTTAATAGAAGCAGTAGCATCCACTTACCCCCACCTCTGCTCCCCTACCTGCCCACTCTTAGGTGAAATAAACATTAGGGACAATGCATTTATTCAGTAAGCACTTAATACATGCTAACAGAGTGACCTGTGAGTGTGGTACTGATAGGTGAATGACTGGAAAAGGCCTAGAGGAGTATGGAGCAGATTCTTAAGAAGGGGTTCCAAAATGAAGGGTGAGTATCACCTGTGGAGATGCTCATAGCACCTTAGTCCCTTCATGATTAGAGTAACAAGAGCCAGGTGGAAGTAGCAAGGTGTGCCGAGGACAAGACAAACACACAGCCCTGTGGCCTTGGTCCCCTATAATGCTTCATACGCACACTCCAAGTCATCTTTGTTTGGTATTGTTTGTTTTACAAATAGGACCTTTATGAGGCTTCATGTCTTATGTCTGGGTTAGCTGTTTGAATAGGAAGCCACAGGACTTGTGTCATCCTATGGGCAGGTCTTAGTTAAAATTCCTCACAGGTTATGCTGATTGGAGAGATCATATTGTTTGTATAGTGGTTAAGAATACCAGGTCTGGAATTGGACTTAGCCATGCATAAGCCTGGATAAGTTAAATTGTAGCTCTCAAAGCCTGTTTTTTAGCTGGAAAGCAAAGGAGATAATAGTAGGAAACTCAGGATTTGGATTGTTAAGTGAATTAAAGCTAGAGATTATTTATAAAATGGTAAGCACAGTGTTTGACCCCAAGTAATCACTCAGTAAACATAACTCAGTAACTATCAAAACCCAATAGTTCGTAAAAAGGACAGAAATGATACATGTTACAACATGATTGAACCTTGAGAACATGCTAAGAGAAGGAGCGCAGCATGAAAGACCACATACTGCCCTGTAGGATTCCTTTTATATGAAACGCCAAACGGAGACAAATCCATAGAAACAGATTTGTGGTTGCACGAATGGGGATGAGGGAGAGGGGCTGCTAATGGGCACTGGGTTTCTTTTAGGGGTGATGAAAATGTTCTAGAGTTAGATAATAGTGATGGTTGTACAACCTTTTGAATATATGAAAAACCACTGGATTATATACTTTACAAGAGGGAATTTTTTATTATGTGAATTCTGTCTTTAAAAACCCCAAACCAGTATACCCAACATGATATACATATGCCATATCTGGCTCACAACCTAAATGGAATTTAGGGTTGCTGGAAATTTTTGATACAAATGTAGGCATTATAGAAGGGTCAGGTGCTTGCAGTTGTAAAGGATTTTCTTTTACACTCACGTTGTTGTAAATTTTTCTTTTAGGGTTTGAAATTCCGGATATAGATGCGGAAAAGTTAATGTGTCCACAAGAAATTGTAGATTACATTGCAGATAAGAAGGATGTATATGAATAAAAAATCAGGTAAATAATCTGTCTTTTTTATAAAATGGCATTCTCCCATAGATTTTTCTTTTCATAATATTACATATTACACGGGTACAAATGTTTTGCTTACATGAATTTCTTTTGTATAGTTTCCGTCAAGGTTGTAAGTGTGCCTCTTCCCCAGATAGTGTATATTGTACTGGTCTCCATAGAATTAGTGGTTCTTTTTTTTTTTTTTTTTTTTGTCACAGTGTCTCACTTTGTTGCCCCCACTAGAGTGCTGTGGTGTCATAACTCACGGCAACCTCAGACTCTTGGGCTCAAATGATTCTCTTGCCTCAGCCTCCCAAGTAGCTGGTATTACATGGGCCTGCCACAACGCCCGGCTATTTTTAGAGATGGGGTCTCGCTCTTACTCAGACTGGCCTCAAATTCGTGAGTTCACGCAATCTGCCCACCTCAGCTTCCCAGAGGGCTGGGATTACTGGTGTTTGTGGTTCTTCAAGAAAGGAAACTCAGGGCGGCGCCTATGGCTCAGTGAGTGGAGCACTGGCCCCATATACTGAGGGTGGTGGGTTCAGACCCAGCACCGGCCAAACTGCAACCAAAAAATAGCCAGGGCTCAGCATGTGTGACTCAAGCAGCTAAGGCACCAGCCACATACACCTGAGCTGGCGGGTTCGAATCCAGCTTGGACACAACCACACAACGACAGCTGCAACCAAAAAATAGCTGGGCATTGTGGAGGCGCCTGTAGTCCCAGCTACTTGGGAGGCGGAGGCAGGAGAATTGCTTGAGCCCAGGAGTTGGACGTTGCTGTGAGCTGTGATGCCATAGTGCTCTACTCAGGGCAACAGCTTGAGGCTCTGTCTCAAAAAAAAAAAAAAAAGGCCGGGCATTGTGGCAGGCACCTATAGTCTCAGCTACCCGGGAGGCTGAGGCAAGAGAATCACCTAAGCCCAAGAGCTAGAGGTTGCTGTGAGCTGTGATGCCACTGCACTCTACCAAGGGTGACAAAGTGAGACTCTGTGTCTAAAAAATAATAATAAAAGAAAGGAAACTCAAGAAAAACAAGAAATTCTTGACAAATTTTCACTGTTTCATTTTTTTTCTTTTTACAAAAGTGAGAGGGTCTGTGGGAGGGCATACTAGTTATGAAATGCAAGCCCCTTTCAATAATTTGCGACTTAAAGGGACCCCCCCGTAGTGATGATCATCCTCATGAGAGATTGAGAGCAGTCAATCCTGGACAGGACTCCCATGATTGTTAGTCCTTCTCATAAACACAGACCTGTCTTCTTCAGTTATCCAGCCTAGGTGATAGAGGCCTCATGTTTAAGAGGAGACTGTGGAGTCAGAGACACTTAAGTTTATTCTTAGCTCTGTCACTCTGTAAGCCTTATGCAGGGTGCTAAGATTTAAGCTTCAGTTTCCTGATGTGTAAAATGGGGATAATGATCTACCTGGGGCTTTTGTGAAAGTAAAACTGTATAGTGTATGTACATCCGTAATACAAGGCCTAATGTAAGAAGCTTCTCAGTAAATACCAGGTCTTATTATTTAGGCTGTAGGATAATCAAATAAACCTTTTGGAATCATATTGGCGTCTTTAACTGTTACCCTGAATTTAGCACCTTAAAGATGCCACTTAGAGTCAGTAATAATGCACCAAAAAGAAACACTGAACTTGTTTTTTCTTTCCCAGACCCTTCTGCTTCGCTGAGAGAAGACTCAGATGATAACTGGCGAGTGTCTGAAAGTGAGACATTTTGCCACTATTGCTGACTTTGACAGAGTAATTCTGTTGGACTTGTATTTAAATTGTGTAAGTGTTTTGTTCTTTGGAAATAAATCTGTAAAATCAGTATTTTTCTCAATCTTCATTTTTCCAGTGATGTCTATAAAGTGCCTTTTTATATTGCCATTGCTTAATATTTCTAAAGATTCATCTGACTTGTCATTGGTATTCATGCCTATCAAAAACAGTGGTTTCGCCAACAGTGTACCTAAAGTTTCACTCCCCTGCCTTCAGTATGAGGAATGAGTGTATTCATGATAAAAGGACTTTTGTGTTTCAAAAAAAATTTATTTTGCTTCCATTAGCTTATTATCAGATGTATCAGCTGATAGCAGCATGTGGGACTAATTTTTCATCCCTAAGGATTCCTCTCTAAATTGTTTTGGAGGATGGAAGAATCTGTCCTCCAAGGTCAGTTTGACATTGTGTCCATTTGTCACACTTCAGCATCAATTCTGTCACTTTCTTAGCACTGTGTTTTTTCTTGGGAGTTGTAGTAACGTGTATCTTGCCTGGCTCTTGATGATACTCAGTTTGAGTCATGTAAAATTATTACTCTCCTTTTACTGAAATTTCTGGTTTGTGGAGAGGGGGGAACCAAGGACCCTGTCCTAAGTAAGCAACGTCATCTAGGCCGAGGGACTGAGGTAAGAGCCCCTCACAGCAGAGAATCTCATAGCTGAGGGATGAGGGTGGTGGACAAGTGGGAGTCAGATCTGGGATTGGGTCCACACTCCCATCTGCCTCCCTACGTTTGGGTACCCAGTGTTGCTGGTTCCGTCTGTGTCGCTCTGGGTCATTCCAGGCATGGCAGGCAAATATTCCCTCCTTTTTAGTAATGGAGAGCATACACTGTTACATTGGACCCTCTCTGATTAACAGAGCATCTTTGTTTTTTTTTTTTTTTTTTTTTTTGAGACAGAGCCTCAAGCTATCCCCCTGGGTAGAGGGCCGTGGCATTACAGCTCACAGCAACCTCCAACTCCTGGGCTCAAGCGAGTCTCCTGCCTCCACCTCCCAAGTAGCTGGGACCACAGGCACCCGCCACAACGCCCGGCTATTTTTTGGTTGCAGCCGTCATTGTTGTTTGGCGGGTCCGGGCTGGGGATTCGAACCCACCACCTTAGGTGTACGTGGCTGGCGGCCTTAGCCGATTGAGCTATAGGCGCCGAGCCAACAGAGCATCTTTGAAAGCTGCTAAATTGGAGATTCCTCATTCTTTTTAAAAGTTCCTTTTTCCTTTCCTTTTTTTCTTTCTTTTTTTTTTTTGGATACAGGGTCTTGGTCTGTTGCCTGAGCTAGATAGAGAGCATTTGCATCACCATGGCTTACAGCAAACTCCTGGGCTCTAATAAGCCTCCTGCTCTACCTCCTGAGTAGCTGGCAGGAGGGACTACAGGCGACCTCCATCCAGCCCAGCTAATTTTTCTGTTTTTTGTAAAGATAGGTCTCACCCTCGCTCAGGCTGGTCTCTGAATTCCTGGCCTGAGTGATCCCTCCACCGTGGCCCCCTCAAACTGGTAGGATTACAGGTGCAAGCCACTGTGCCCAGCCTACAACAGCATTTACTTACCAAATAGCTTGAGTACTTCTCAGGCACTGGGGATCCAACAGAGAACTTACAGGCTGCATGTGGTTTCTTTAATTGGAATAGTGGTAACACTTCTCAAGTTGTTCTACTTAAATCCTATGGCAGCTGCACATTTTACAAAAAAAATCCATCTGTGGTCATTTCTGCCTAAGATCACAAAGTCTGGCCATGCTACTTCTAAAGTAACTGCTTTTCTAATATCTTAACTATGTACCTGCAGTGAAATGGCCAGTTTGTATCATTCTATAGCTACTATAAATCCCCAAGGAGCCAGAATGAGGGAAAAAGTTTCCTGGATCACTTGCACATAGAAATCATTCCTTGGTAATGCCTTTAGGCTCTGGTTGATGCCCTCCCCAAAACACTTTTCAGGATCTGTACCTCTGTTGTAGGCTATTCTACAGGGAGACGGTGGCTTATGAGGCCATCATTACCTGGTTCCAGCCCAGTCTTCTGCCATTCTCCCTCATTTCTATTTTAGCCTCTCAGTCGTCTTATTATGCCTCCCAAACAGCAAGTCCACTCATTCACTCAAACAATGAACTACCCCTACCTACTGTGCATTGAGCACTCCTCCAGGGCCTAAGTGAGGAAGAAAATAGCATGTCTCCGATCTCAAGGAGCTTGCTCACCATCTTACATGGGAGATGATTACAATCCAGGTGACAGTATCAGACTTGGCACTACCAATAATGTAACAATTCAGCCTCCAAAAAGGACATGTCACCTCTGAGATATTCTTGCAAAAACTGTTTAACATACAGACTCATTCCTGTAATCCTAGCACTCTGGGAGACAGAGGCAGGGGGATTGCCCAAGCTCAGGAGTTCAAGACCAGCCTGAGTAAGAGTGAGACCCCATCTCTACTAAAAATAGGAAAATCAGCTAGGTGACGTGGCAGGTATCTGTAGTCCCAGCTCCTTGGGAGGCTGAAGCAAGGGGATCTCTTAAGCTCAAGAGTTTGAGGTTGCTGTAAGCTAGGACGCCACAGCACTCTACTCAGGGCAACAGAGTGAGACTCTGTCTCAAAAAAAAATAAATAAAATTATTTAACCTGAATCTGACTGAGGATATAAATCCAGAAGGTAGGCCAATTTATAAGACCTGGAGGGTAGACCAAAGAGATGTGACAACTTCATGGGAAACGTGAAGCTAGAAAACATCAGGTGGAAAGAAAGACATTTTGGGGAGAATTGGACTATATATATATTCCAGTGATAAGACAATGTTAAATTTCTTAGGTGCAGTAATAAATAGTATTGCATACAGTAGTTAGAATAAACTTATTCTCAGGAGACATAATATTTAGGAATAAAATATGATGTCTACCATTAACTTCCAAATGGTTTAGGAAAAAAAACAATAGCATAGCAAAATATTAACTGGTGATAATGTGTGTTCACTGAACTATTTCAACCATCTGAAATTTGTCCTGATGTTGGGAGAGAGTTCAGTATGATACATGTAACAAGTTGTGTATGGATGACATAATATTGAACATCCAAGAATATGCCATGGGTCAAATAGAAACAATGTTATATGGTACTCAGTACTAATATGAAGCCAGTAGACATCTAATAAATGCCCACATAAGAGAAAAACTCAATTCAAGGGAGAGAGGAGAAAGGGGGACGGGTGGTGCTCCCACCTAATGGGCACAATTTTAGAGTGTACGCACACTTCTTGGGAGTAGGACAAAATTATAAGAGGGACTCTACCTAACAAATGCAAACATTGTAACTTAATTCTTTGTACCCTTAAATTAACCCCAAACAATTTTTTACCAGGATGTGGTAGTTATGTCCATATGCAATTTATTCTAATATTTTCTAATTATAAAATATCATGTAATAAATGAAAGATGTCTATATGCAAATGTCTTGTAATAAATGAAAAATAAAAGTAATGTTTGAAGATGTGAAAACTGTGGCATTAGTTCAGCAGAAGCTGAGGACACTGGGAAAGGCTTTATGGGGCAGTGAAGCCTTAGCAGAGTCTCTAAAGCTGTGTAGGAGTTAGCCTGGTAGGAAAGTTTAGTTTGGGACAGTGCTAGATCATGAACTAGGTCAGGGAGGGTTGCCTGTAGTTGAAGATATGACTGGGATCAGACCATAAAGTAGGACCTTGCTGGCTGGCTAAGGAATTTGCCAGCAGGACTGTCTTCAGGGAAGGGACAGATGTATCTGAGGTCAATCACTGCAGCTACACAAAGGGTGGCCTGACAGGGATGAACTTGTAGTTACTGGAAAAGCCCAAGAGAAATATGCAGATTTGGGGTAGTGCCTGTAGATCAGTGGATAGGGTGCCGGCCACTTACACTGAGGCTGGTGGGTTCAAACCTGGCCTGGGGCCAGCTTAAACAATAATGACAACTGCGACAAAAAAAACAGGCATTGTTGTAGGCGCCTGTAGTCCCAGCTACTTGGGAGGCTGAGGCAAGAGAATCACTTAAGCCCAAGTTTGAGGTTGCTGTGAGCTGTGATGCCAAGGCACTCTACCCGGGGCGACACAGTGAGACTGTCTCAAAAAAAAAAAAAAAGAGAAAATGCAGATTTGTGGCTCAGCACCTATAGCTCAGCGGCTGGAGCACCAGCCACATACACCAGAGCTGGCGGGTTCAAATCCAGCCTAGGTCTGCCAAACAACAGTAACAACTACAACCAAACAATAGCTGGGTATTGTGGCAGGCGCCTGTAGTCCCAGCTACTTGAGAGGCTGAGGCAAGAGAATCACTTGAGCTCAAGAGTTTGAAGTTGCTGTAAGCTATGATGCCACGGCACTCTACCAAGTGCAATACAGTGAGACTGTCTCAAAAAAAAAAAAAAAAAAAAAACCAAAACGCACATTTGAAGTTGAGATAGAATAAAAAGAGATTCTGGGAATAAAAGTGGCAGAAAATGATCAGGTGAAAAAGGAAATGAGTCTTAGATACCTCCGTTTATTGCTTGGGCTACTGGTACTGAATGAGTTGCTATCTATGCAAAACAGGGACTAAAGGAGAATCAGATTTGAATGGGGATACAATTTCAGTGTGGGATATGCTGAGCTCAAGGTGTTTGTGGGAAACACAAACAGGTGACAGATAAGGCACAACTCAGGAAAAAAGTCAAGCTGGGGGTGGGGGCAGTATGAGGTGTTTCCCAGGGCAGGTTCCCTCTTCCTGAAGATTCCCTGCTCCCTCACTCTGGTAAGGGACTTGATCCTCTACTCCAGAATGGACCCTTACATGCTTAAGCCTAACAGGGTGGGACAGAGTTAGGGATGAGAAGCCAGAACTGAGTGAGAGACTGCCCCATGTCACTTGAAATTTCTTTATCAAGTCAATGTTATTACTGTTTTAATTTTTTAAACGGTAGCCAATTAATAAAGCTAATTAAACAAATTTAGTTAAAACAACTTTATTAATGAAGTTTATTAAGCCAATAAACAAATGCCAAAGTTCAAAGTTTAAAAAAGAAACTTACAAACACAAGTTA